GCAAAAACAAAAGTGTTGCGTTTATATTTTTGTTCAATGTACATTAAAGATGCACTGCAACCTAGATACATCAGAGAGATAAATAAATAAAATTGCAGATTTTTAGATGAAAAGGTATAGCAGCAGTAATTCAGAGGCACAGCTGATGTTCGCACAGAGTAATGGCACTACAGAATTGTAAAAAACAAAAATAAATACTTATAGTTATAAAAGAACGGGGAAAAAAGAAACCTTTCTAGTGGTGTCTAATGAGCCAGAACAGTCGTAAATTATACTAACTTATTAAACATCAAACATCAATCGATGCTGCCAGCATTCACCTTGTATGCCCCTTACAATTATGTGTCTCCCGTAAATTACGTGAAGTAAGACACCCTTTAACTGATAATCAAAAATAAGAAACAATGTCCAAAAGTTTTGGAAACAGAAATTACCTAACATTATTCAGTCTTTCTTAATCAGCATTCCTCAATGTTTAATATCCACGGCGTTATCTCCGGAAAGTTCAGTTTTCGTTTAAGTTTGCTTCCCCAGAGGAGCTACATGGTAGCAAAGTGTCGGCTAGCCTTGTGGGTAATCAAGTTAGCTTTTCAGTCTTGCTGGTAGTCAGCCGCAAAGCTTTCGGCTTCTTTTGGCGAGGCAAGCCATTTTCTAGCCCCACTTTGGAGTATGATTTGTAGGCGAGCTGGGTACAGCAAGGATGGTTTGACCATACAGCTTTGACATTACATCTCCGTACTTCACCCACTGCTCCAGTACCTCCGGGGTATAATCTTCAAAAATCTGTACAGCAGACCCATGATATTGAACCTCGTCGTTTGCGAGCTTCCCTGATGATCTGATCTTTAATCTGGAAGCAATGTAGGCGTATTATCATAGGCCGCAGCCTCGCTCCATTCTGCAGCCTAGCGACAGGCACCCTGTGCGCTCAGCCCAGCTCCAGAGGGGACACAAGAGTTTGTTCACCCAGCAGTTCGACCAACAGTTTTGAAAAAAAATCAGTGGGTCCTGGTCCCTCTATAGATTCGGGGAGGCCGATAATTCTGAGGTTGTTCCTGTGGTTCCGTACTTCCAGGTCTATTGCTTTAGCCATTAGCTTAGCATTGCTCTCGGCCAGAACCTCAAACATTTCCTCTAATTTACTAATATGCTGGTCCTGGAGATTAGCATTGGACTCCAAGGAATCGGCGTTGGCCGTGTTCTGACACCACAGACTGTATATTGTCCAGTTTCACCTCCAGTGCTGCGAAACTTGCTTTAATCTCTGCCATGAGGTCTGCTAGCATACCAGCAATTGCCCGTCTCGTGGGAGCCGCAACTCGCAAGCAAGGTGTCTTGTTCAGCTTTCTTGGAAGCTTTAAACTGTTTTGACATCGTGCCAGATGGTTGAAACACGATTTACTGTTTGCAAATCCACTTCAAAACTCTCTGGAGTGATGAAAAAAGTCAGAATTTAAGAGAGTTAGCAGGTGAGCCTGAGGTTGTGCTTCCACTCACATGTTCCCCAAACCAGAAGTCTAGTCCACTCTACTATTACCCAGACATACCCATTGTACCCTATATGGCAATCTGACAGAGCAGAGGACTTTGGTGAGAGAAGGAGAGGAGGAGTGTGCTATACAGTGAATAAAGACTGGTGTGTCCATGGGAATGTTAGGTGCTCCCACTCCTGATGTAGGTAACTGCTAAAACATGACACCGTGCAGAGGAGGCTGCAGCGCAGTGCTGCTGTTCAGGAGAAGGGACCACGTGGCCTTCTTGTTGAGTTTGGGATGTGTGGACAGTTAAGTTATTCCACAGCCAGAAGCCATGGATTACCACAACCATCCAGAAACATGAACAATTATCAAGCATCAGCCAATAATGTAAGGAGACAAAAAAATACAGTGCATAAGTTAGAGGAACTAATGAGATCACATTTCACTGGTGTTCATCCATGTATGATTTCCATGTGACAAATCAATAATTGATTGATTTATTGATTTATTGTTAAAAGCAAGCTATTCCCTGATTAGTACTTTAGTAATTACATGGTATTACTTATTATCTCTTACTTATCAAACTATTACTACACTATTGTCATGTTATTACTGAGCTTTAAAATGTACAATGCTACCAAAAACTCAACCCCAGAATTCATACTGGGTGCCATTTTTTTTTTTTTTTTTTTTTTTTTTTTTAAATTTGATATACTTTATTAATCCCCGAGGGGAAATTCAATTTTTCACTCTGTTGTCAATTACACACAGGTCCGAACACACACATGCACAAACTGGACCTATACATGCACTAAGTGGAGAGATGTCAGAGTGGGCTGCCCATGACAGGCGCTCCGAGCGGTTGGGGGGTTCAGTGCCTTGCTCAGGGGCACCTCGGCAGTGCCCAGGAGGTGAACTGGCACCTCTCCAGCTACCAGTCCACGCTCCATATTTTTGGTCCGGACGGGGACTTGAACAGGCAACCCTCCGGTTCCCAACCCAAGTCCCTATGGACTGAGCTACTGCTGCCAAGTGGTGCTACCTGTTCTTAACAAGAGACAGCCTCCTCACCAACACTTACACTGCATTTTAAACTGAAAAATTAAATGTTTAGGAAAGAAAAAAAAGAGCAAAGGGACAGCAACTACTCATGGAACAAGTGTTTTGAGAGGTCAACCGCAGGCTGATGTGGGGGCACAGAGGGATAATCAAAGCCAATGGGTGGGGTGTTTGAACAAATTAAGGTTTGTAAAGAGGAGGAATGTGGAATTTGGAGATATGAATGGTCTTTGGTCATTTCATTTTTAAAAGATGACATTGGACAACTGGGTGAAGCAAGGGCAAGACAAGGGTCGAAACACCCAAATACCTTTCTGATGTGAGAATCTTCACCATCAAGGAAACCATCATCGATGCCCAAGCTGTGTAGCCAGGTGGTGCTGTCAAAGGGCAGGGGAGGGACGGAGGGAGGGAAGGTAGGGGAGGGCTCTAGAGGGTAATAGGACTTGGGGAGGGGAGGCCTTGGGGGAACACTTTCCTAGATAACCATAAGGGCAGGATAGAGAGAGGAAGGAAAAAAAGGATAGGTGGAAGAGAGAGTGCTGCACATCAAGAGGAATGATAATAAGCCAGGCAAAGTGCAGGGCAGAAAGGACTCATGAGAATTATTCTGGGGAATGGGGTCTTTGTCATTTGTTAAGGAGTTAGAAGTGAAAATCTCCAGGGGGCCAATGAAATTCCTGGACTGAAGACTTCTATGAATTCTTATATCATAAAAAGTCAGTGAAAGACTCTGTGAAACAGCCGTGACATTTCAACCATCACTGTGTAAATAACTTGTCACCTAGAGTAGTCTTGTGAAGAAAGCCGATGTACAACATCCTATATAACAATTTAACAGCATTGCCTTGCTAAGAAACATGTTAGATACTGAAAATGGTATTGAAAGGGTAAAGTCTGCCATTGCATGTTACTGTAGCACTCACTTCAACACGTAAAAATTCATTTTAATGTTCAGTTCATATTTTCCTTTATTTTATTTAGTTGATAGGATACTCTGAATGTGAATGTTGTGAACAGATCAGCTGGTAACATTCATGTTTCATACTATAACGGGTTTTTAAGAAAGACTGACATCAATAAGAGAACATGCCTTATCTATGTTTTTATGCAGCAGCATCGGCAAACCCTGAAATTACTGTAACCTTGGCCAGATATTTAGGCTTTCATCTCAAGACTATAGCATTCAATCCCCAAATCTTTATTTGAATCAGGCCTAAGCACAACGGTGCCAAAGGGTGTTAATTGAGAAAAAGCGTCAGGGTTGCATGCAATTTTTTTTTCATCCATGAGATTCCTGTAGAGCAGTTAAAGAATATGTACTGACAACTGAAAGGTTAGATAAAGGTCTCTCTGCAAAGGCAGTTAACAGCACCTGTAGATTAACTAACTGGGGATGAAAATTATGTCATGATGACTTTCAGCAATGGCAGAAAATATCTGTAATATTGTATTTACAATATTAAAAATCTAATCAGATGGAATGTGGAATTATCTAAATCAACTATGACGTGGTGGATATCCTTTTCCTTAAAGATGGGTCTGCATGAACACTTTACCTGAATCACTAGGTGACTCTGACTGTGTTGTAGCACAACTCACTTGTGCAGAGCTAAGTACCTCTTGATGGTTGGGGTAAGTAAGTGGCCTAGCACCTGCGCCAGCATGACGTGATGACTGAAAAGCTAGCTGATGACGGAGTTGGGTTCCATGACTAGCACCTCTAAAACAACTGACTGAAGATGTATAAAAATCTGGGCTGTAGCGCAGTGATAAAACATCAGTCAGATGGGAGTCCTGGAGAAAAGGGATCTGGGACTCAGGCACAGAACAGCGTTTGTTGGAGGACAGGTTTCTGAGGCCAACATGGTATCCTGCTGAAGAGTGATATGGATGGGAGTCTGGATAGACATCTTTTCTGAGACCGATCTTGACTTTCTGGCTGCAAGCATTTGAGGTAAACCAAGTAAGTTCCTGAAAGTCAGAGTGGGTTTGAACTGTGTTTGTATGCTGATTGATGTATTTAGAGTCCTGGCATTTTACTTGAAGAAAATGGATCTGTTCCCCTGCTCTGGCTTTGGCTGGATTTATAGGTTGGTCAATGTTTGAGATGGTTCTACAGTTGATGTTGTGATCTGTTTCTTCTATCACAGGGTCTAATCTGCCCAGGAACTCCCCAGGGTTTTGGAAAGCTAGGGAGAACTGAGGAAAGGTGGGTTCATGGGTCTCACAACCATAGTAATTTATATTTTCTGCATGAAGGCTTATGTCAGGTTCCCTGTAACTTCTGGGTCTATACCTGGGCTTAGGGTCAGTTTTGAAATTAGGCACTATACATGACTTGGGGCGGGGTTTAGGACTTGATCTTTTACACACTTCAGGGTTGGTACTAGAGCTGAAGCATGGGCCTGTGCAAGGTTTTGGACTATGGTTGGTCCCTTGCTGGGTGTGTCCGGTGCTTACCTCCGGGCCCAGCCGTTTGGTGGGGGAGGCCTGGGAGCCGAGTACTGGGGAGAAGGGGCTGAGTGGACTGGTGAGGCTTACTGAGCTCAAGGGACTGGCTGGACTATTGGTGCTAAAGGAGCCTGATGCACCGCTGGCCACTGTGCAAGAGAAAGACAGGGTGGTGGGGGTGACAGAGATAGAGTCGTTAGAATACACATGGTAGAGACACCAGTATTTCTACTGAACTTGATTATTTTCCAGCACCAGTGTGTTACCTCTGTGCTTGGTTGTGTCAGTGCCTCTGGATAAGTTACTCTTGTGCAGGCCCTCTAATACATCTTGGACTCTCCAAAACTCTTTCTGGATATGCCTACGAACCAGTTCACTCTGCAAAACGTCAGGACAGACAAAGTAATATATTCTTCTATTGAAGAAACAGTCCCTGTTGAAAGTGCTGTATGTGGACTATCTTTGAGGGTTATTCAAAATAACTGACATTGTTGCTGGCGGAAATGTTGCTGTTTCTTTTTTGTTTTTTTAATCATGAAATTTCATAACTCAGTGATGAAGAATTCTATCTTAATTGTAGTTCTTTTATACAGTCAATGACTAATAAATGGCTGTGAAGTTCTGTGACATTTCCTCTGTCAGTTTGTTAGGCTCATGTTTATTGCTGTAAGGGTCAATGACGTGACACTACTTTTTTGTGTCCATATGGTTTAGTCAAATTTAAAAGGGTTAAATTTTGAAAATAAATGTATGATTAACTTACAAACCTTCTTTTTTTTGTGGATCCAGTATAAAATATCTGCTTTTAATCCATTTTGAGAGAATAATACTAGAGGATTATGGCAAAAATGCCTAAGTGGTGTAACCATAAAAACTTTGCACCAAATATTAAAACTTGCTTAAAAACACCAAAATTCTCAATAAAACACCATATCAACTAGTTTGGCATGATCTTATATTATTACTTTTATTATATTAAATAAAGGTAATGGAATACAGTTGTTCTATATGAAATTTTATGAAATTTAATTTAGGGAATAATGAAAGTCAAGTAAACTACATGAAGTGTCAAGTTGTGCAACCACCATTTAAGAGGCCATTTTGTTAATATTGCAAAGAAGGCCATGTGACAGGAAATGGTATTACAGAGAAGGACCCCTGATTATTACAACTGCTGCATGACAAGGTTAGAATCTCATAATTACTCATACATTCTCAAATTACTCATAAACGGTTTTAGGCTTTGGTCAAGTTTGGTAAGTTTACATGTAAAATGGTATGACCCTAGAAAAACATTACTAATTCATAAGAATCATAAAAATAAATATTTACTTTAAAAATTATGTTTAACTGTAACCAGTTACACCATTTGACTCCTATTAAAAGCCTTTCTGTTATAGGCCAATCACGTCAAATATCAGCAGTTTATGATGGTAATTTGTTAGATATCAGTAGTTTATGATGCTAATTAAAGATGTATTATTAAAAAAAAAAACTACTTTTGAACTTGTACAGTACTTTAAAATACATAAAAATCCAATAATTCATTTAAAGTAGAAATGTTACTCAAATATTAAAATTTCTGTCTGTAAAATACAATTATTTACATTTTTGCTATTTCATTACTAATATATGATACATTTATAGAAAACTAAAGTAATCAAACTGAATAAATAAAATCAGTTTTCCCCATTAGATGCCAGTTTCTAACAAGGAAAAAGTGGCTCATCGTGGAGTGCTAATGCTAATGAATGCTAATGAATGCTAATGCTGCAGCAAGGGCCAATTACATCCTTACAAGTTGTTGTCAGGTGACTTTTTCCCTTATCAGAATTTAAAATACAAAACATAAAACATGAATTAAATTTTGAAATTAAATAATTGTTGTTAGCAAAGAATTTACAGTAGAAGAAATGAGTTCATTGTTGTCAGATGTTCCTTTTTCTGAACTTTCTCTAAGTTCACCCTTATGAGTCATTGTGAGGTGACTTTTTTCTTATCAGAACTTAAGATACAAAACATGAGTTAAATTTTAAAATGAAACATGATTGTAAAATGTTTTTTCAGCAAAGAATTTACAGTAGAAGAAATTAGCTCACTGTTGTCAGATGTTCCTTTTCTGAACTGAAATAACATTAAAAAAAAAAGTTCACTTAAAGCCCCTACAAGGAACTTTAATTTTGAGTTGATTTTGGCGACCCTGTGGACAAAAGCGGTAGTGTTTTGCCGGAATGAAGCCTACATTTCCCATGAGCTCTAGCGTGTATTGTCGTAAAGACACTTACATGTCTTTCTTTTGGGGATGAATGAAACAACAAGACGGGAAAACTTTGCCCCCGCTCCTATCGGGGATCCCAGCTCACCTCTGCCACGCCCCAGCTCCACCACTCCGGCGTAAGCACCACCGCTGCCGGGGTAAACGCAGCGGTCGGCTGGTAAGGCTGAAGGCCTGTTTGGCGAGCACTTCCACTGCTTCTTGGACTGAGTATGGAGCGGTGCCTCGCCTCTTTATTTCTCGGCGCCTGGCTGGTACCTGTCGTCGGCCCGGATGAGGTGTTCCAGCCCCGCGACCCCTGCTCTCCTCATCCCAGCTGGCGCGGGGTGAATCTGCGCAACCTGCGGCCTCTGTGTGTGGCACCCCGGACAGCTAACGCCGTAGACCCGCCGGCTGCTGCCAGGATTGGGCTGGTAAATGCTAGATCGCTAGCGAACAAAACGTTTATCCTAAAGGATTTCCTGACTTCCCGAGGATTGGATTTTCTCTGTGAATGAGACATGGCTGACTGTTGGTGAGTCCAACGGCGCCAGAAGTGGGGGGGCCAGGGGGCCATTGGCCCCCCCACTTTTACCCTCCTGCCACATTATTTTTAAGCCGAATCAAAGGTCCCTATATTACATTACTTACGGTAAAAAAGACTTTCATTCTTCACTTCCACTCATATGGTAGATAAAATACAGAGAGGGGCCATAGAGAGAAAGATACAGCCTCCAGCAGGCACTCAATTGTGCACACCTGTTCCTGCCTCACCAGCCCAGTAAAGCCTCGAGCATCCTCGGCAGGCTCCGGGTAGACTCTCAGCCATCTGGCTCTATCCAACAGCACCTAGCAGTAATCCCCACTAACCCTGGCACTGTATTGTAAGAACTCCCCAGTTATAAAAAATAGAAATAAATCAAAAAGCGAGCCAAATTGTAGGCCTATCTGGTTCGCAATCAAACATTTCTAGCGCTGGTGTGTTTTATTTTTTTCTCAATGCCCCTCTGCGGCTCCGTAGTACACAAACATAAAACAAAAAATAAAGAATCTGAATTTAAACTCAATTTGTCTGACTTACATTTATCTCTTTCATATCATGAATGCATAGATCTATGCTTTTGATGTGATATGCAGCCTGCCTGACAACATAGGCTACAGAGGCCCTGGACCTGCTGCGCACAGAGGTGGAGCGGCGTTTTGATCAGGAGGGACTCCGCGTAGCTGCAGGGCGAGAGCAGGCACTTCTTGAGGCGGCTCAGGGGAAACGAGAGTGGCTAATAGAGCTTAGATCGGGCCCAAAAAATCCAGCCCGACCCGGACCGAGCCCGTGCGCGTTATGTCCGGGACGGGACTTTAATTATGACGGGATTTTAATTATGATTTAAACCCGTCATTTTTCAATAAGTTGGCTGTTAAAATTAAGAGTATTAAACCACAATTCTTGTTATTTGAATGACAGAAATAGGATCTTAATGAATGGCACAACACAAAAGCATGATTATGTAATAAAACAGGTGTTTATTTTAGGATCCAGGTGGTGAAGGGCTGTGTGTGCACAATGTTCCAACAGGGGACAGCCCTCCATTCCGAAACACTGCCGTTCCGAACCAGCCCCACTCCAAAATTGATTTTCAATCAAGTTTGAGAATTGTATTGCGGAGTTTTGCACAGCAGCGACCGGAAAACCACAAACCACAAAAAAATGTGATGGCACAACAGTCTCCTTCAGTACATTATTCTATGCTTTCTTTTGATTTTCACATTGGCTAGTCATCCTGTTTAATTTGTCTTCTGATTAAATCGGAACAGTTGAAACAAGTTGTAGGAAGCCTCTGCAAATAATTGGTTGCTGGCAGACACTCTGTGCTGCAATAAAATGGTTAATCAGCAGTGCCGTGCACTGTAGAGCCGATGCGCTGCTGGTTCTGCCGGCCTGAATAGAATATAATGTCTATAGCCTTACTGTTGTGTACAGCCTTTATAGACTGAGCTGAGTAGTGATGCGCGGGTCGACCCGTAACCCGCGGGACCCGCAAATGGACCTGCGGGTCGGGCAGCAGTGATCGTCTGTTAAATTGGTCTGTAAATGATAGTTTGACATTATTATTATTATTATTACAATCATTAGGCTACTGTCACGGCATCCAAAGGTGATGATGCGTTGAGCAGGTGACAGTCCGCGGTCGTTTTCAAAATACACTTGTGTCACACGCTCCAGAAACTTGTTGAAACTTTAAACAATAATTAATTGTACAAAACGGGGGAAACAAACGTTGACAAAAATGGTTCCATAATTCATATTAAATTCAAAAGATAACGAAAAAACAGCTATATAAAAATATGTAAAAAAAATAAAATAAAAAAAAAGAAGATCGAATATCACATTTTCATAACGAATACCTACCCATAGAAACGAATATTCGAATATCCAAATATTTGGGTACAGCCCTATTCGTAAAGGGTTCAAAGTGTTCAGGTTTCATGCAAACACTGTTAAGAAATAAACTGTTTTCTTTTTTACTCCCAAGATAAAGTTCGTGATTAAATACATTATCTGACTCTTTGTCTTTCTTCACCATCTTTTTAATGAGAGAGGACGAGCTGTAACTTGCTGCAAGATACTGCTGCTTTCACTAAAACACACTGTTGCTGCTGTTGCGCAAGCTCACACTCAACTCAGGCTGTACTTCAATCCCTGATCACTACGCACCTTTAACTAGTCCCTATTATTAACTGGAGATTACACAGGTAGCCATGCCCACACAGTGACAAGCCCCAGACGCACAGCACTTTTTGGCTCCCCCACTTCTGAAATGAATCCGGCGCGCCTGGGTGAGTCCAGTGCATTTACAGAACTTTTACCCGATGATCGCTGCTATTTTAACTCCCCGCAGACGTCGGGTCGAGGAGGAGGAATAGCGACTATTTATAAGAGTCACTATAAATGTAAGCAGCTAGGTAAGATGACGTGTGCCGTCTGAGTGCCGTAAATTGTTTCGTCCTGAAAGTGACCTGGGGTGGACCCGGAGACAGTTTCCTAAAGGTATGGATATACACTATATAGAAATAGCTTATCTTCACACCGATGGTCTCATTTGCTGTTGTAGGTCACACACAGACATCAGCAGAAACGAGAGACTTTTGCACATCCAGTTAAAAGTTCCTTGTAGTAGCTTTAACCTTGTTGACTGTCATATTTGATTTTCAGTGTCCATTTCTTCAATAAACCATGGTGTTGTAGAAGGAAGGAATTGACAAAACCCAGTGTCATTTGGTGTAACTGGTATTTTTTCATGAAAAATATGATTATATACAGGAAAATAAATGTGGAGTAAAATGTGGAATAAATGTAATCCACTTTTGCAGTGCAACACCGTGTTTTAACAAATTTTACATAATCTGTGAAGCATTATTTAGAAAAAAGGGGTGCTTATAGGATATGTCCTGCTCATTATTGCCAAAATGCATTAAAATTTAAATATAGAAAATATCTTATTTCAATTTAATGCTTTTAAAATAAAGATTTTTTTTATAAGTACACGTAAATCTACTGTAGGTGGATAAAATATTTAATATTTATCATTCTTTCATGGTTACATCATTTGACATTTCTGGAGCATTCAGTCTCTAACTTTTGATAAAAAATGGTGCAAACGTCATTTCAAATGACAAAACCAACAAAAATACAGAATGTACATTTTAACAAATCTGATGCATGCTTTTAAAACATTTTTTTAAGATATTTCTGAATTGCTCCTCTTGCCAACCCTTATTTGTCACTGAATCATAAACCAAATATTCCAAATTTCAATATCCATTTGTAAACAAGCTTTACATTTTTCATTTAAAGCAACTCTTACCTTTCTTGCATTTCACACAACACAACAAAATTGGAACATCCACAGCTCCCGCCCCCCTCGAAAGTCCCAAACCCCTCCTCCTGCAACTCCACCTCCCTCCAAAGGCCTACTCCCCCTCCTCCATTACGTCCTCATTATGGTAACGTTACACTTACTCTCCGGTGGAGGTTTCTGTTAAGTGCTGTAAAGTTTAGTTGATTCAAAACACACATTAAACACACATTAAACATGGCTTAATCGAGACAATTTCAAACACAAGTACACAAATCAGCTTCGCTATGACTAGCAGCATTCACAGACAAACACAAATACAACATGCTAACGTTAGCACCAGCCTATGGCATTTAACATTGTATAAATTAGCCTAGCGGCTAGCGATCTTTCCCTCTTCTCATATAAAACAAGGGATAACAGCAACATTTAACAAAAATAACGGCACATAATTTGGCTCCATTACAGCTCACAAGATTCACCGACAAAACAACTGTCTTATACTAAACAAGTTTTCCAAGCAAATACAACATACTAACGTTATTAGCACAAGCCTATGGCATTTTACATTGTATAAATTAGCCTAGCAACAAGCGATCTTTCCCTCTTCTCATGTAAAGTCAGGGACAACAGCAGCATTTAACAAAGATAACGGCACTCAATTTGGCTCCATTACAACTCACAACATTCACCGACAAAACAACTGTCACACTAAACACGTTTTCCAAGCAAATACAACGTGTTACGCGAGTGGTTACGTCAGTTGGAGGCTTCCACGTGGGGAAGGCAGACAGGACGCTCGGCCTATCATTGCATTCGGTCCAAATGCAATAATTGGTCAGTGTTTTCTTAGAACCATATGAGAATGGTATAATTATAAGTTTGCATCTCTGGTGGAATTCACTTACATTTTAGTGTAGTGCATTAATAGCATTTTAACCTAAACAAAGAAAAGCATAACATTTCCAGAAAGGTCAGTGTCGCTTTAAGGATAAGGAATAATGACAAGTGTGACCCTTTACCTGTCCTCCTGCATTAAGCTGCTCCCATAGATCTCCATGAATGGCGTTGGCCTCATCTTCTAATGCTTCAAACTCCATACGAGTGGTAGTTAATGCCTAGGAGAGGTACAAATATATGCAGTTATTCTAAGAGAATGTTTCTAACACCTGTTGTTTGGATAAATTATGTCTGATTTTTAAAGAAAATTATGCCTCTCTGAGTCTATCCCAGCTATCATTGGGAGAGAGGCAGGGTAGACCCAGGACAGGTCGCCAGACTCTCACAGGGCTGACACATAGAGACAGACGGGAACTGCCCATTGGTCCGACAGCCCATTTGTTCGACATCCCATTGTTCCGACCATATTAAACCCATTGTTCCAAAGTCTGTTCCAAAATCATCGTGATGCCCTGTGGTTAGGGTCTGGTTAGGTTTAGGCACAAAAAACACTTGGTTAGGGTTAGGAAAAGATCATGGTGTGGGTTAAAATGAAAAAGAAAATGACAAACACATAAGCCGTGAGCCTGCTCCGCCTCAAGCCTTTCCCAGCTGACCCAGAGCTGGTCGCGGCGCACCATACGCCCGCCACGAGCCGTTCAGCACCGTGGACAGTCGGACTAATGGGATGTCGAACCAATGGGCTGTCGGACCAATGACATGGACCCGAGACAGGCAACCATTCACATTCACATTCACGGGTCCATGTCATTGGTCCGCCAGCCCATTGGTCTGACATCCCATTAGTCCGACGTCCTGTTGTTCCAATATGTGATTATACTAGGCTGTACTGTATTTGTGTACCATAGAGGATCAGCAAACGCAACAAAAGTAGGCTACTGGTCGAGATACAAGTGCCATAGAGAGAAGAGAGTGAAACACCATAACCTCCTGTTATTAACTCTGGGGTCCGGGTTGTGTGGGGAGCTTTCTGCTTTTCTACGTATTTCTGCCTTGATGGTGCATCGCGACCGGCTCTGGGTCAGCTGGGAAAGGCTTGAGGCGAAGCAGGCTCACGGCTTATGTGTTGGCCAGTTCCTCTTTCATTTTAACCCACACCATGATCTTTTCCTAACCCCTAACCAAGTGGTTTTTGTGCCTAAACCTAACCAGACCTTAACCACAGGGCATCGTGATGATTTCGGAACAACGGGACTTCGGAACAGTGGGTTTAATATGGTCGGAACAATGGGATGTCAGACCAATGTCGGAACAATGGGCAGACCCCCACATTCACACCTATGGCCAATGTAGAGTCACCAATTAACCTAACCTGTCTGTCTTTGGATTGTGAGACAAAGCCAGACAACCTGGAAAAACACCCACACTGACACAAGGAGAACAAGCAGACTTTACACAGAAGGGCCCACACTGGCTGGTGGATTCAAAACCAAAACAATCTTGCTGTGAGGCACCACCATGCAGTGGTTAGCGCTGTTGCCTCATGGCAAGAGGGTTCTGCCGGCCTGTGTGGAGTTTACTTTTAACAAAACAAATATTCATGTTAAATGAAAATGTAAATAATACTGTCTGCTGCTTGTCTACAACAACATGTTTAGATAATATGGTTGAAATAGAGACTGCAATCAGCCCTCATACACAGGTGTGTATGTGTAGCTGACAGAAGCACTTTCATACATCACATACCATTCAATCACCGGCCACTAGCAAATCGAATCATGAACAACTCTTTTGGTTGTTTTGGTTCTCAGGACACAACCATTGCCAACCAAGCTAACCATCACAATCCAGCGCAGTCTGAAAACACAAGCTTGCAACTTTTCAACAGCTAACCACTAGCTTGAAAAAAAAGATATTATCTGTCTTTTGGTAGAACAGAATTGAAATTAAGTGTGGGGAGGTAGGAGGGAAGAGGTAGGGAAAGTAAGAGGGAACAGAGGAGCAGTTAAAAACTTTAGATTACTGTAAAATATTACTTTGGTAGTTTTTAACATTGACCATCAGAGGGTAGGCTACAACAAAAATACAAGTCTGTATAAAACCAAAGTATAATGGTTAGTCAAAACTTTAGTCAAAATTTATTTTGAAATAGCTGCTAGTACAGTACAGACAGATAGATAAATAGTGGTTGTGATCGATGTGGTCGTGCAAGTCATAGACTGGGCACAGGATTTAGATCGGGTTTGTCCTGCTTGGAGTGCATGGCGCTGAAAAAGATCTATTACAAATGTTAAAAAAGTCATCAAATACTGCCGCTTTGTCAGTAATTTTGGCATCAGAGACCAATGCCAAAAGTTACCTTTTGCAACGGTATGATACGCTGCTGGGCGGCATCAGTTTGTAATTCATAACCTTTCGTGATGTTTTGATATGCCACTAACTGGCTGGACCGCACCTGTCATGGCAGTATAATACGCTGCCGGACAATGTAAGTTTGTAATGCGGCCGGACAAGCCGGAGTTTTATGATACATCACCCGTCTTCTGCATTGCACCTGTCGCGGCAGTATGGTACGAAGATGGATGGTACCAGTAACAACAAAATATAAGGAGCTGGAAAATCCCTTTTGGGCAGTTTGGAGGGGTGGTCCAACAAGCTCTGGACTTTCACCTGGAAAACTGGTGTTTGCTATTGTATGAACACAGAGGCAAACCATGATGTTTTTTTTTCGAAACCTAACCACATGCTTTTGTTGATGTCCCATCCCAGAACATCAACAGTAGACGCAGAAGAATACCTGTTGCATAATATGTAGACATGAAAGTCCACTGACAAAGCACCAATACGTGACAACTAGGGATGAGAACGTGTTAGAATTTCATACCACTTCCTGCGTCAAATATGTGGCACGAGAAAACCCACACTAATTATACCTCATGTTGCTGTATATTATTTGTAGACAACTCAATCCTGTTGTCAGTGGGTGGCACTGTGACTATGATTTAATATAGGAATGTAAACATCTTAAGGTATAAACATCTAAACTTCTCTTATGTACTGTATGTGAAATTTGGTGCACATTGGGTTGTGTAAATTCAAGTTACAAAAGCTTCCTATGTCATGTTGAAACATTAAAATTTGCCACGCTGTTGCGGAAATGGTTGGCACAGTGGTTAGTACCATGCTAACCACTGCACCAGGTTTTCCCTGGGAACTCTGGCTTCCTTCCATAGTCCAAAGACATGCAGGTCAAATGAATTGGTTACAGAAAATGAATGACAATGTCACGACAAAGTCATTCCAAGAAAAAGACAAATATTTTGCATATTTGCATATTGAAGGTCTTGAGATTGTGGATTGAAACCCAGTCTTTACATTGATATGGTCATTTTTGTTATAGTTATTTTACTTATTAGAGTTACAAATTGATAGTTTAGCATATTTTCTGAGACTGAATGATCACTATTTTTTCTTTTTCAGAGATTGTTCCCCACAAGTAAATTATATCTTATTATATCATATATTTTTCAACATAATAAATAATTATTTTAGATAATCATTGCTTAATTTTGAGAGCCATTTTAATACTTTGAACCCTGAGTTCCCAACAATTTGGAGGGTTAAACCTCCAAAATTTGGAATGGCAAACTGAATGTCATGGTAATGACTTACGTTCAACTATTAGACACACCCCCATTCTCTGTTTGACAAAGAATCTTAACTGAAAGTACTGAAGTACCACTGGCTGAAGTGGGGATTTAATGACTAAAATTGTATTGTAAATGATAGGATTAATTAGCCTGACATTACCAAACCAATTTAGTAATGTGAATTTGTCTGGAACCTGTCAGTTCATTTTTTAATTTCCATATAGCATGTGACAAAACACTGAACAATAGACAAATGTTAATAAGTGTGTTGCATCAATATGTCTGTAAATGAGTGTTACAGTTTTGCTATCAGAATTTGAAATAGCACTTAAACAGAAAGTTCCACACCAGCTGCAGTCATCTTGGCTTTTCTTTCCTTTTTATTAATTGATTTTTTTTTGTTTTGTTAAAAATGCCTCACTGGTCTTTCTCTTTACAAAGCTATCTTTATGCTCATTGAAGCGGCAAGAGGGTGCATGAGCCAAAAATGATGTTATCACATATTTTGCGTAAGGTGCAAAGGCTCCGCAAGTTATCAATCATTGTATCAAACACACACTATGATTGATAAATGTAAGACCTTGCACCTAAGTGGGTCCTGAAATTTCATGCAGTGTCTTACACTGGAGGCCTGGGAGAGCTCCCCTCTGATGTTGATGAGCTGGTTCTGCAGAGTTTCCTTTTTGAACCGTAGCTTTTCCATGGCCAAAGGCTGGTTATGGAACAGCTCCATCTCCTGATGTGTTCCCACCAACGCTTCCTCTAAGCTGTCCTGGAAACAGCAAGCATGGCAAGCCGGAAAGGAAGGGGTAATAAGCTTCACTGCCCTTTTCTCTAGACTTGTCTCAGTGACATTTTCCTTTTCATTCTTCAAGCTGCAATTGGAAAGAACTAATCGTGATTTTATCATTATACACTATATGTGATGTTAGGACATACAACACCTTTATTTAGAAATAGCTACTCAGGGTTTCTGGATTAAAAGTGCAAAGGTATACATTAATTTTGAATGTTAATATGAAAGTGGGAGAATATTAACACAAGCTACACTATACGCTGAGTGACCAGCAAAATAGAAAGCAGGAATAAAATGCAACAGTTCACTCTGTGGTCATTTAGGATGCTGTAGATAGTGGGGTTATTGTATTGGACTGTGAGCAACAAAATATTAAAAATACCTTTCAATATAAAGAAGTCATCTTACATAGCCTAAAAAATGACTGTAAAACAGTCACCATACAAACTAACTGTATGTCCTGACAAAAACTGAACACCTTGAGTAAGGCTGTAATAATTCATGCATTGTATTAAATTTAACTGTTAGGAGTTTTTTGGCCAATGAGTTCATGTCTTTACACATGGTAAGATACCCTATATGGGTTTTCTTCAAAATAACAGATCTTTACATCTGGTGAAAAGTGTTAAAGGCTAGGATAACATCAAAGCTTCACTTATTAAAACAGCACAAATTTGGTTAGCGTCACAATACAAAACATTTCTTCAACACATGGTATAATAATGTGAAACCAATGCAGGTCTACCTTGTCCATTCTTAGTCTGTGGACAACAGCCTCATGGTCTTTCAAAATTCGGTTCTGCTCACACAGCCGGCCCAAGAGTTTCTGTATCAGACAGGGCAATGGGTGGTTGCCACATAGGGAGACACAGGGAGAAAACATAAAAGGGTGAGACAGAGTTTGTGTGTAAATACATGCTTAGAGTGTAGGGACAAAAGTATATAAACACTAGGGCCAAGATCTGGAAAATCTGGATCACCATGAATCAGATTTGGAAATCCCCTGTTTTGCTTTCCAGTGCTCTAAATCGGACTACATATCACATTGTAGGCTTCTGATATGAAAAGACCAACAGATGGAATTGTTCATTCAATATGGATGAGGGCTGAACATAATTAACATACTTTTGGCCATGCAGTGCATTAAAAAAACAAAAACAAAAAATATGTGAATTGTCTGGGTGTAAGGGTGTGTTTGTATGTTTGTTAAATGCAGTGTCTCTTACACTGGTTTCAATCTCATTGAGCTTCAGTGTGGGATGTAGCTCTCTGCTGTATACATCATGGAAAGGAGGCACCTGTGAAAACAAACAGGAAAGCAATGGTTCAGCTTTTACATTCTCTTCTTTATTCTGAGGAATGTAAAGCATTTATTTGGAAAGTCATTAAGATCAGTATATCTGTTGGTAGAGAAAATGCTGATTTCCCTGCCACACAGAAATTGTGATGGAGTCAGAAGAACTCCATGAAGCAATTCTTTAGGCTGATAAAAACATGTTGGCATACTGATAATGCAGACCTGCACATTCCCTAATTTGTAAACTTCACAAAAGCTCTTTGGTTTATGTGTCAGAATGAAGAACTAAGCTGAAATATGTCATGTTAAATCTTGGGAATGTGGCTATAAATAACTTAACAGGGAAAAACTGTTCCCTCTCCAGCTACCCCAGCACCTTTCCACCACACCATAATTATTACATCTACATTTACAACATGTCCACCTAAGATCTGTGACAGAATGAGAACAAGATGAAGGAAACAGAATGTTGTATATCTCCTGAAGAGGGTTCTAAATTGATTGGAAAAACTATGTAAAACTATGCTGTAAGTTCAAAGAGGTCAACAAGACTGTACAAGAAAAGGTGAGTTTGTTTTAGCAGGAGGAGATCTACAAGCATGCAGGACTGCCTTTGAGGAGACTATGGTTTCGCAGACCGGGTGAGGCGGAGGCGCAGCACACCTGTGTTTCGCCAACTAGGTGTGGCCAGGCGGATTTTGCAAGTTTGGCACACCATACGCGCTGGCGCAGCTACTCCTCTTTCCCACCTCCTCCCTCCTACCTGCGCAAGTCGGAAAGAGGGAGGAGATAAGGCGTGGAGTGGGTTTTACACACATCACACCAATCAAATGAGCCCCTCTCCTCACCCTTAAATGCGCCGCGCGAAGGCGTAATGAGAGTTTACTCAATTCGCCATGGCAGAAGAGAGCAGTAGCGTCAGACGGCCAAATTTCTCCCAGGGAGAAACTGATGTTTTGGTCCAGGAGGTCCAAGCTCGCAGTGTCCGAATATACGGAACTGCGAGCAGACCTCCACGGGCTGATGATGCAAAGGTAGCCTGGGAGGAGGTCACCACAATTGTAAATCCATGTTGCATTTCTCTTGTGTGTGCACATGCTCTCTCTTTCTCTCTTGCAGTCTCACTCTGTTTCTTTTCTTTTGACTTTTCTAAGATGACAGATGCTGAATATATACTCCCTATCTGATGCTGTGGCTGTTTGTGGTTGGCTGAGAGGGATGTGAACTCATTAGTGTGCAGCTGTGTTAATCAAATCAGGTTGGGTTGCCAAACGTGCCAAACGGTGCCAATCCCCTTTGATCTGACATCAGATGTGACGGGACAGTCGATACAGAGATACATTTATGTGCTGATTGCAGATAGGTGCATTGAATAGTGTTTTTTGTGGGTATTTATTGCATCCTTAATGTGCCTGACATTCTGGAAACCTGCCTGTGAGGTTTTGGTGACGTCAGCCGGTCAGCCAAACTTCCCTTACACCGGCTGTGCTCCGCCTGCGCTGACAGTAGACCTGGTTTCAGCTGGCGAGCTTTTAGCGCACCTTCGGAGAAGCCTTTTGGCAAGAAAATGTCACTGCGCCAAGCTGGATCTGTCAACACCTCCCCCTGCTGCGCCGCCACACCCATCTCAGCGCACCTCGGTCTGCCAAACTACCAAACTGAGCGTGCCTCGGGTTGCGCTGCTCAAAACTAGCTCTGCGCGGGGTTCGCCACCCTGCACCACCCTGCGCCGCACCAGGAAACTAGAGCCCACTGTCTTAAGTGTGCATGTTATCTCTGTGTAAGACCATAAAGGCATGCAAACAAAAATGGGATGCAGCCAGGAGGAGGCTTTGATGGCACGCTAGATGTTTGTTTGAAGTGTACAGAAGCCCTTAAGTCAAGTTTTCACAGCTACCAATGCTGCAGCTTTTTATCTTATCTTCCTGATAATACATAGTCATTAAATTAAAAAAGTCTAATTTTTATGATCTATTATCTAACTTTTTGTCATTTATTATAGTTTAAGGACCTTTTAGCCCAGATCAGTGTCTGGCTGCAGAGGTCTCTGCCAGGCTGGGTATGGCCTAACTCCACCAATCAGATGGTTTAAGGTTTCGGTTAGATATGACTGAACTGTAGGTTTAGGGTCTTAGAAAGGAGTGATGGCAAAGAACATACGATACATCTGTTTGACTGTGAGCGACAGTATGGACCACATGCAGACAAGACAAGACAAGGACTGAAGAAAAGAGAGGCAGGCTTGGGCAGGTATGAAATATCTGGTCTATTAGTGGCTAGGAAGGAGGACTATATTAAGGCCCTGACACACCAAGCCGACGGTAGGCCGTCGACCAAAGTCGGGCTGTCGGTGAGCGTCTGTCGGCCTAGTTTTTGCGGTGTGTCCCGCACCATCGGCGTCAGCGGCTTTTCGGCCGATTGAGCATGTTGAATCGGCAACGGAGCTAGTCGGTGAGAGACATCACTCTGATTGGGTGTTCAGGTTTTATTTCCTCGCCCCTGTAGCGAGTGAATCTGCCTGTAGTGAAACCGGGGCTAACCGGTGCTTCCTCCACAGACTCCACTTCACTCAGCTGCCCACAGACCCGCTGCTTCTTCCCACTTTAACCTGGATAACAAACCGGAGCTAGCTGGGAGCGGCTAGCTGGGAGCGGCTAGCAGAGCGTTAGCCTCAGCATGACCGGAGGGAAGCACCCAGTTAGCCTCCACTAGCCTCTGAGCAAGCCCCGGCTGTCTGTTTGAGTCCAAACGGACAGCCAGAGCTAGCTGGGAGCGGCTAGCGGAGGGTGAGCTGCAGCATGACTGGAGGGAAGCACAGCCAGTTGGCCTCCGCTAGTCTCTGAGCTAGCCCCGGCTCTCCGTTAGAATCCAACCTGAGCACCGAGCCCTGGTTTGTTATTCAGATTAAAGTGGGAAAAAGCAGTGGGTTTATCGGGCAGCTGAGTGAAGTGGAGCCTGCGGAGGAAACACTGGGACCATCTGGATGTAATAGTCCGTGGAGATGCTGCGGTGCTTGGCTACACAGATAGGGAAACCCCTCGGCTGTCAGGATGTACCGCTCTCTCACTCCGCTCTCTCACGCCATTGGATGTAGTCAGTGTAGTGTGTTCAAATGCAACTGACACAGGGCGACGTGAGGAGATGACGCAACAGTTGGCTTTTGTCGCCGCTAGTTCTTTGATGTCGGTTTGGTGTGTCTACACCTTTAGACTTAACTGGATGAGCCAACACTGGCTTGGAAATCCCCAAATGAGTTCCAAAGTCAAAAAGGCACTTCAGAGCCCAGTTGGACAGTTGGTAATCTGATCAGATTTCAAATTTCAGATTGGATCAAATCTTGAAAATGGGTAGATCAAAAGATAGAAGGGATTCTGAAATTGGATTAGATCACATAATCTAGTTTTGGCTTTGATCTGAATCAAACTTTTAGTATGTGTTTTCAAACTTAGTAGTCGGATTGGAATATCTTTAAACAAACAAACAAACAAACAAAAACGGGCTTCTACTGATCCCAGCAGAAGGCTGGACTCAGGGTGGTTTTCAGGATTAGAATGTAGTAAAACGTTAAATCAGTCAAATCTATACATTTATTCATATTTTGCACTTGCTTTGTTGAACTATTACAGTGAGTAAGTTTTACATTAGGCTACCTACAGTAAGCCTTTCAGTACAGTAGTAAAATTAACAAACAAATAAATGAATACATGATTATGCCCCCATAAAATAACACCCCAAATAGCTGTCAATATCTAATAACAGATACTTTTATTACTTAAATTTTATTTATAATTTATCACTTTATGTTAATTACGACACAGTCAAAAGGAGTTTATACCAACTGCATCCTGTTGCATGCTGTTTTCTGTCTCTTCAAATGTAACATTTAAGTGACTCCATGCTGACTATTCTACCTGTTGTTCTCTACAGAGCTAGTAGTCCATATTGAGATAGGTCATCCCATTTAGAGCACTACTTATTCGGATTTGGTCTTCTTGAAAAGTTTGTCTCTGGGTTGGGATGATCCAATCAACAATCCAATCACTTATTTGAAGAGACAGAAAATGGCATGGAGGATGCAGTTGTTAGAAATTACTTTTAACTGTGTCATTGTTATCAATATAAAGGGATGAATTAAAGTTAAAATTAATCAAAAGTTGCAGGTGGAGTAGACCATTCTAGGATATGGACTGAACTACAAGCCAAAAGGGTGTGTATTTGATGACCTGGGAATGAGACACCATTGAGTTCTGTTTGATATTGACACCTATGTATGGGATTATTTTATGGAGACTGAACTGGGTCCAGTTGCTCAGAAGAAACCTTCAGTACGTGTTTTACTCCAAGTTACAATCTTGAGGATCACCATTTCATTCTCTTTGGCGGCACTTATGGTGATAAACTGTAATTGCAGTGTAGTGGCAGAATAAGGCTTGAAACCAGGCTGGTGAATTTATTCATATCACCTTGTTTAATGAGTCCTCCAGCTGATGAGATAGATAGGGATATCACAGCATGTATGTATTTATGTTTTGGTGTGTGTTAATGTCGCCACAGACACCCAGACAGTAATACTGCAAATACTTTCATCAGTGGGCCACCATTGTGTGATCTCATTTGGTGATAGATAATGACTTAGCAGTCATTTAAATAATTTTTTTGAGATAATTATTTTTATTTTAACTTTAACTTATCACTTCATATTAATTCCAATGGCACAGTTAAAAGTAGTTTTTAAAAAAAGAATTTTATTCCCATAAAATAATCCCCAAATAACTGTCAATATCTAACAAATGTCATTTAAAGTTGCAATATCTAAGATCTCCATTTCGTGTGAATGTCACCACAGCCACCCAGACAATAATCCTGCAAATACTTTCATCAGGGTGCCACCACTGTGTAACTTTATTTGGTGATAGATAGTAACTTAGCAGACATTCAGTTAAACAACCTTTTTGAGCTAATTATTTTCATTCTATTTTACTTTCACAATTCATATTGATTTCAATGGCACAGTTAAAAGTAGTTTCTAACAACTGCATCCCTAACGTTTTGTGCACTGCTTAAAAAAAAAGCACTTAAAGTAACCCTACACTAGCTATTCTCCCTGTTTGTCTTTACATAGCAGAGGCCTACAATGTGTAATCCTGTTTAGAGCACTGGTTATGCACATCTCGTAACCTTGAAAAGGCTGTATCTGGATCAGAGGGATCCAATCCAATGTTGCTATGAAAAAGGGCACAAACATATCACATTGTAACTCATGGTTATCCAGATTTGGTAACCTTAAAAAAGTTTGTAACTCGATCAGGGTGATCCAATCCCATGTTGCTTTGAAAAGCCATCACAAAAGTAAAATTGATTCGCTGATTTTTTTTTTTTTTTTTTTTCTCTTTTTAAAATAGGCCTGAAGATTCAGATCAGATTACAGAGACCAGACAGCAGTCTGATTGGATCAAAACTGGAACTCTGTTAGAGTGAGCCAATATTATTTTTTAAAGCAAACTTACAAAGAGCATCTTTTGGAAGGAAATAAGAAAGAATGAGACTGTAATAGGGAATAAGGGAGCAAAGAATCCTCAGGCACTGACAATGTCGTCACTGACTCGATGTGTTTAAATATGTAATGACAAACAATATTGTGTGCTTGTCCTCTTACCTGTTGGTCTAAGTAATTCAGGTTGCGCTGGAGCTGAAGGTCTATTATGTCCTCCTGAGCCAAGCAGCAGCAACAGCAACACACAGACACATAACAGATAGAAGGCTTTCAGATAGGTCAGCAGCAAAGCAAAGCACCACAGCCAGTCTGCCAAACACTGAAGGTCTGCAGCTCCTGGCCAATCATCAACTGTGACACTTTTAACAGAATTAAATAGATGTTAATGTCCTGGCACTTGGCACTAAAAGCTGCTCATTTCACTGTTCTTAGATGAGTGACCTTTGACCTCTTCCCACGATTCCCTGAAAGGTTTTGCTCTGGTATTCACAGACGGCTGATGTTGTTTTTGCTATTTTTGCTGTTTTTTTCAGTCTCATGACCATGTTTATTGTTTCACTGTTTCAAGGCTGTCACATGTGATGTCATGATGATGTCATACTGCGTCTTCCTTTCAAGAGAGTCTTGTCTGTAGGTGAAACACCCCTGTCATACTCAATTCAATTTCTTATTCATATGTGCTGCTATTAATCATTAATGACCTATTTTTCTGTTAATGTTCTTTTTCTCAATAAAAAAGATCTTGTCTTTAAAGGAAATGGCCACTATAGAAGTACTTACTGACCCTCATGCCGACATTAAGTCCAGTGTAGTTTTTAATCCACAAAACTCGTTCGGGGTATCGGAAGTTGCCATGTAAACACAGCAGCCTGCAGGGCAGGCTAACTGAGAAATTATGCTATAAAAGTGGAGTAAATTACGTCTTGTTATTCCAGCTAGCTGTTATCCTCCGATACCCCAAACAAGTTTTGTGGATTAAAAACTACACTGGACTTGAGGGTCAGTAAGTATTGTCTGTATTTTCATTATAAAGTGGCCATTTCCTTTAAGGTGTACCAGCAGAAATGTTAAAGTGTTGACTGGTTTATAAGTTTCGTGCTGACTCCTTGTGACGTGAAGACTCTGTTCAGATGTTCTGAGAGTCACACAAGGGTCATATGGTCTCTGTTGATTAAGTAGTGTCCATTCTGTCCAGTCTGGTCTTAAGACAATCATCATCTATTTGTACCTTTTGGGCCAGAGTGCCTGTCTGACCCTCTGTACCCCCCTCTATTATTGGTCTGTGTGGGAGAGTTTCCCTTTATATGTTGTGTTGGATAAGGTGACTTTGGTCATGTGATGACAACTGAACACACCATAGATTTTGGGTGAAAATGTGTGTGTCCTTGATGCTTAACAAAAGCACTGAATAAAACACTGGCAAACCCAGTTTTTTGGCTCCTAGGCTGCTTTCTCTTTATTGCTTTTACACCAACGCACTGCAGTGTTTCTTGGCACATTACTGCCATTAGCTGGAAGAAATGCCTGGCCATAGTTTTTGTTTGGTTGTTTGTTTGTTTGTTTACTGGCAAAATGAAACATGCAACATCACATTTATCATATTTCCTCTTTAATCAGGTGGTCTGATGCTTACAAAACTTCATGGGGCTGTTTGAAAGTCTTACACTGATAATGAGTTGCATTGGTAGAGCCCATGGCGGTTAGCTCTCTCTGTAATTATGTCATGTTTCTCTCATGTGTAAAACACACATACAAACATAGACTTATACACATATGCACACCAGAGCAGTCCTTGTACCATGTCACGGACAGGACAGCAGAGGGGAGTAGAAGAAAGGAGAGTCAGAAAAAAAGGTCCAGACGGGGAATGATGCGTGCAGAGTTAGTGCAAATACACAGAGGACAGATGTGCAGAAGAAACCCCAAAGCAAAGCTACACATAGCACTGCATTAAGTGCCACAGCTACTGTAGACTGTGCCTACCATCAGATGACTTCTTGTGTGATTTTATATGTTATCCAGTAGATTGATATGTTTTGCACATTAGTGGCACATACCATTTTATTGTGGAACGAAGGGGATACAGGGTAGTTGTAGTGGAATAATCCTTGGCTTAAGGACCTTCTATCACCGGGATAGTCATACTGAAGGAGGGAGGGAAGGTAATAAGGAAAGAGTCAGGGCAGAATGGAGGCAAGAATTAATTCAAGTTGTTAGATTAGAGTAAGATGAATATGATTACAACGTATGAAAACAAAACATAAATCTCTCATAATTACTGCTAAAGGTCATTTACAGTTGTTTTTTGTTTTTTTTTTACCAATAATCAAACCTGCATTTAATCTAATTATCAGGGAAAACATGAGATTATGGAAGCACATTGCATTCACTGGATAAAAAAAAAAAAAAAATAGACAAAAAAAAAAGGCAAAAAATTAGACGTAATTACGAGATCAGGATCTCATAATTACGAGATAAGGATCTCGTAATTACGAGAAAAGATCTCGTAATTACAAGATAAGGATCTCGTAATTATGAGATCAGGAAAGGTGCCACATTAGCCACTGCTTTGCTCAGAACCACATACTGCACATCCACAAAGGGGGGTCGGAACTACTGTAACCAGCTGCCACTCGGGTGGTGCCATCTTGACTATATCCCATATCTTTATTATAATGTGTATATATTGGAAATTACGACGGAATATTACACTAAGCAAGGACAACAGTGCGCACCGTATATATTTTGATGTATTTCATATTTCAGATTTATATTGTTTGGCGTTAACTGGTGACAGAAAAGAATGAATTTCATTCTGCAGGGAAACGCCTGTCCTTACTGTGCATATTGAATCTTGAATCTATGTTTTATGAAGACCCTGTGTGCGCTCAGAGCTGTGGCACAAGTTACGCACCGAAATCTGGCGGAAGAAAAATAATAATAAGACGAAAAATAAGTAGGCTGTGTGTGACTTATGTGCTGATGAAGTGGTGGGTGATTGATGTGCCTGACATCGATTGATTTAGTTTCAGCATCATGGTAGTGGCCAGCTCCTGTCAAGATATGAACAGAATGAAAGCGGACAAGGTAATTACAGAACTTATCTTGAGAAATAGCTTTTCAATTCGGGGCTCAACAATAACGATTGCCCGATTGCCCAGGGCAAGTAAAACTCAAGGTCGGGCATGTAAACTAACAACTCATTTGCCCGATTGGGCAAGTTGCTAAAAATAGTAAAAGTTAATAAATAATTGATAAAATAAATGTATTTTAAAACGTGCTCCTTCGGCTCTGATGCAGCGGTTTCTCTGCCTGAAGTCACAGGCACACGCTGTGTAACAATGTCCTGCCCACAGCCCCCATTGATATTATTTTGCGCGACGGACACTTCATATAATAACATAACAATATACTATTTATGGTGTTTTGTCATCGTGTCATTTCTGTCTCTACATGGTCACGTGTTAACAATTCTCCTCTGCTCTCTGTATCCCGCATGGCGGAGTTCCGCCACACACACAGGTGAGTGTGGCTCGAGTCGCATTTTCCTGACCAAACCTGACCCCAAGCCCGGTGCGGTTTGTCAGCTGACAAAGTTACTGAAATGGCCAGTGTGTAAATAACCATAAACAGTCTGCTGTTACGCAAAGACAAACACGCTGCTCGCAGAGGATGGCACTCATGCTGAGCTTGTGTTGAGTTCAGGCGTTGTCACGTAAATACTTCAAGCACTTAAATAGGTCATAGCACAAAACAGCAGCATGTCAAGTGACTTTTTACTTTTATTATATTCAATACAATTGTATGTTCCTAAATCTTGAGACACCTCATATGTAAGCTAGACAGACATTTCACCTGCTCATACTGTGCACACATGTACTGTATGTACTTAGCCCTAAAGAGCCCTTCTGGTAGCCTACCAGTAGATACAAAGAAACATCCCAGCAGGCTGTGCTTTGCAAGCATACAAAAAAGTTTCACACATGGGAAAATTATTTTTCATGCGTGTGCTTCACCTCCACTGCTACAACTCCATCCTAGGGGAAACACTGTTGTGTGCGTTTTGTGCAACACGTGGATGTGGTAGTCTACTGGTAGAGTAGAGAGAGAGCTAAGTAGCGTTGAAGTAGAGTAGAGCAGGGCAGAGAGATGGAAGCAAAATATATTAAACCCGGTGTTAATACAGCAGAACTGGAGAGGGGGGGGAAATAGAGGTGGGCATGGCTCAAGTAGGGCGCAAAATTACAGCCGGAGAATGATTGACAAATTTTTCACTTTAAGCCCTGACACTGTCATATTTGTGTAGGAATTAAGCTACAATACATGACGTGTTGTTTTAATTAATAAATACAGTGTGAATAAAGATTACATAACATAAAAATAACTGCAGTCTTTGTTAATTGATAGCCACTTAAATTAAACAATTTTTATAGGGCAAGAAAAAACTGACTTCGGGCAAATAGATCTCTGACCAACTTGCCTGACTGGGCAAGTGAAAAAACCGTTAGCGTTGAACCCTGAAATTGTATCAGAGATTAAATGCATTTTCAATAGAGGCAACTTTTTAAATTAGGCTATTGCTTTCTTTTCACTGTCTGCATCCATTTAAGATTTTACTTGAGATCGCTCTTTAAGAAACTTTTAACAGGAGCTGGCCACTACCACGGTGCTGAAACTAAATCAATCTATGTCAGGCATCGATCACCCACCACTTCATCAGCGTATAAGTCACACACAGCCTCTTATTTTTTGTCTTATTATTTTTCTTCCGCCAGATTTCGGTGCGTAACTTGTGCCACAGCTCTGAGCGCACACAGGGTCTTCATAAAAACATAGATTCAAGATTCAATATGCAGAGTAAGGACACACGTTTCCCTGCAGAATGAAATTTGTTCTTTTCTGTCACCAATTAATGCCAAACAATATAAATCTGAAGTATAAAATAGATCAAAATATATACGGCGCGCAATGTTTTAATATCTCCTTGCTCAGTGTAATATTAATGTGCCTGCCGCGGCTGGATCTGTGAGCGTTTGGTCGCTAAGAAGACTGTTAAGAGTGGGTCAGCTCGATCTTACAGCTCCTTCTTAGTGAAAGATCTTAAGCGAAGAGCGATCTGGGAAACGTGGCCATTATCATGTCAACATACAGGGAAAATGTGTCCAGAGTTTATGACATTTACCGGAAGAGCTAGAACCATTTGATTAAGCTGACGTTATTACTGCTGTAGCATGATGTTATTAGGCTAAATATTACATTTCTAACAGTGTCTGAGCTGATATATTGACACAGTATGCTTGTAGGCTGCTATAACGTTAGGTTTACAGAGGAAATAACGGGATGTGACTTAATTGTGTGAAAATATCGTTAGTGAAACAGAAACAAGCGTTAGTTAGGGGACAAGAGTCAAGGTGTCACAAAGACTCACGTAGGCTATGTTAAAAGTTACTTACAACTGGTCTGTTTACTGTAGGTTATGTGTCCGGGGTCCTTCGCCTGTGGAACGAGTAACGTGACCACTAACTTGTCCCCAAACGAACGCATTCGGATTGTTGTTGGTTATTTCCTTAAAAAACTACGACTTTATTCTCATAATATTATGACTTCAATCTCATTAAATAACGACTTTAATCTCATAATTTGACTTTATTCTCGTAGCCTAATATTATGACTTTTTCTCAGTTATGACTTTATTCTCAAAATCTCAGTTTTTTTTTTCTTCAATGTGGCCCTAATACTCCGTCGTAATTTCCAATATATACGCATTATAATAAAGATATGGCATATAGTCAGGATGGCACCACCCGAGTGGCAGCTGGTTACAGTAGTTCCGACCCCCCTTCGTGGATGTGCAGTATGTGGTTCTGAGCGAAGCAGTGGCTAATGTGGCACCTTTCCTGATCTCATAATTACGAGATCCTTATCTCGTAATTACGAGATAAGGTGTCTAATTTTTTTTTAACCAGTGAATGCAATGCACTTCCGTATGAGATAAAAGCCTGTTCCCATTAAATCGAAATATCTGATCCCCTAAGTAAGTGGCAAATATTTTAAAACAGAAAAAGTTGAAGAAGTGAGCTGTGGCCTGTTGTTATAGAACAGATTGTCAAGTTGGGGTAGTGGTCACCCTTTATATCCACTGTAACATTCTGTAAACACACACACTCATCGTTTTACCTTGGGTGAGCTGAGGGATCTCCTCAGGCTGTAGACAGATGGATCAGCATAGATCACATCATCCCTCATCCGTCCTGGGAACCTGTCAAAGCGGGCAGATGGCGATCGAGCCGGGGAGACAAAGCTCGGTGGCACCGGTGAGTAGGGCCCCCCAGATGATGAGGACGGCGACCTGGGCACAGACCTGGAGCGGGGCTGGATGGACAGACGTCTCATTGATGTTTCTATTCCACCATAGTACGGTGGTCCCCATTGGTCCCTGGACATTGGAGGTCCATGCAGGTGGTGGGGTCTATCCCTTAGCGAGTGACGTTTCTCCTCGACAGTCCAGTGTCGGTCGTATCCCCCCACAGCAGAGACAGAGCAGATACTGTCAGGTCGGACCCCCGGTGGGTACAGAGGGTACTCCTCCATAATCTGGGGGCCACCAGGGTAGCCGTAGTAGTCACCTGAGACCCCATGGTTCACTAGGTAGTAACGAGATGGGCTGGAATGACAGGAAGAGATAAAGACTATTGCCTTATCAAATGTCATGTCAAGTCATGAAAATAAGATTGAATGACAGGGACTTGTAGTTTGTGGATGAGTCAACCAGCAGCAGTAGAAAGTTTATGTGTAAAAAGTAATCTCTCAATTGTGCAAAATAAAGGCTAGGTTCAAATAAAGAATCAAATTACATGTTTTTCATGTATGCCAGCTGTATTTCAACAAACATCTCATGCTACTTTGATAAGACTTTTTTGACACATTTCATAACCTTTTATTAATTGTGTACATTCCTGAAAAAAGCAACTTTACTCACCAAATACTGTACATGAGGTATATTTATGGTGAAAGAAAGACATTTCCTTATTTGAGGGCGGCTGCGGCTCAGCGATATAGCGGGTCGTCCACCAAAAGATCAGTGGTTCGATCCCGGGCTCCTCCAGGCTGCATGTCGAAGTGCAAGATACTGAACCCCAAATTGCTCCCGATGGCTGTTCCATCGGTGTGTGAGTGTGTTAAAACTGAGTAGCAGGTGGCACCTTGTATGGTAGCCTCGGCCACCAGTGTATGAATGTGTGTGTGAATGGGTGAATGTGACTCGTAGTGTAAAAAGCGCTTTGAGTGGTCACTAGATGACTAGAAAGGCGCTATACAAATGCAAGTCCATTTATTCATAAGATAATGTTAGACACAGTGTTTCCCCTCATATTTCTGTCCATGAGCTGTGCTGTACCCTATGCTCAGGTAAATTATAGTAATTTTGCCAGGAGGCTCTGAAGCTCAACTTAAGTTTTACTTCATTGTAAGCTTAACTTTATCACAATGTTAATTAAAATGTGATATAGCGTGATAACACTGGTACATTTGGAGCACAGACACAACTTTGTGCTCAGGATTTTTAAGTAGCCCCGACTTTCCAATCCAGTTGGACTGACTCTGTCCTTGAATATCAATGTTACAAACCAATAAACTCTGGTGGGAATGAATATCAAAACCACTTTCTGTAAAAAAAATAAATAAATAAAAATGCAATTATAGCATCTTTCAAATTAGTCACATAGCATTTGTGTCTCAAGAAAATTTGAGCAATTGAAAACTGGTGCCACAATGATTTTTCTTTTTGAAACTATCACTATGTCACTATATTTGTATCACAGTTAGCTGTGTTAGTGCCGTTAGTAGTGTCTGCACGGCTAGTGGTGCTAACTTAGTTAACGGGATAAAGGGATTATGTAGCCCAAAATAAAGCTGCTTGCTCACTAGGGCTACCTAGGTGGAGACCGCAGGGTGGCTGCCAATGTTTCTGTAGCAATGCCGTCCTGCCAGCAGGACAGTGTTACTCGCGGTATTCGTTGAATGAGTGGTGCCACTAGCTAGCTCCCACCTGACCCTGGGTGGTTTGCAGTGCAGAGCAGCAAAGGCTGATGTTAGCTCACCAGTTAAGACTGGAGCTTGGGCAGTGGGCACTATGTTTCTGCATGTTAGTGCTGCTAGGTGGCTGTCTGTCAGCAGAACCAACAGAAAATAAAATATGGTTGTTGGTTACTGATTAAAGAGTGTTTGGCTACAGAAAGCAAAATTTACTGACACTGGCATCACTTTTAACATGCAACTTCATTGATGTTCGAATGGAGGGGCACCTGCATGCACCGAGTAATGACTTAGGTCATTGTAAATGGCTTACAGCACAGCAACACCATCAGTGTCTTTGTAGTATCCCCATGACCACTGAAGCGTCATCTGAAGCTCATTGCAGTGAACAACACAAGAAAACTTGAAGAGAAAGAGCAGTGTCATATTCCTCCTCTTCTCCTTTGATCTACCTGTTGATGTCCTCCTGGGAGGCCATACCCCGCCGCTGGTTGACCCACTGCTGCAGCTGGGCCATGGAGCTCTTCCTCTGGGCTACCCTCTCTGGAGCTGTCCTGGGAACAAAGCCCCTCCTCAGCACCACATTTTCCTGCTGCTCCCTAGGGTCATGTGACGGGCTGAGACCCCCCTCTGGGCATCCCTGAGGGGCTCGGGGTCCACTGTGACTCCTGGATGGTGGGGGTTTGCTATTGCTGTTGTGTGGCACGCTATTGCAAGGGCCATAGTTGCCCCAGCCATTTGGATGGTGACTTGGGTGAGAGGCGTGGTCAGGTCTAGGTCCTCCTCATTCATCTTTACCTTCTCCTCCAAATTCACCTTGTCTTCCATCACTGTTTTTCCCCTCTTGATCAGAGCAGGGGATGGAGGGTGGGTTTTTTTTCAGGTTGCTGACCCCGTTGATCTTAGTCAAGAGGGGGAGGTCATTGTCTGTTTCACTGTGTATTTGTGTGTGTGGATGCTGTTCTTTTTGTGTGTTAGGAGCCTTGGTCACCATGGTGTGGCTGAGATCCTCCGTGGTGTCAGGGTTTGTTCTGTGAAATTTGAAGGAAAAAGGAATCATGATTGTAAATAGGCAGCTTTATTTTGTTTTAAAAAAGAGATTACAAACACAGAAAGTGGACCAACAAATCTCGACATCAGGTCAATTACCTATCCCTCAAAATGGTCATTTTGTGTGAATAAAGACTTTTGTACATTTCTCCTTTTAATAGTGTTTTTATGGTGGCAACCTCTAGCTCACCAGGGGTGTGCCCCATATAGTGCCCCAGTCCTTTAGAGCAGCCCAGGTTCGATTCCGCCCTGTGACCTTCTGCGGCATGTCATCCCGCCTCTCTAACCTTCCTGCCTCTCTATAGCTGTCTTCTAAATAAAGGTCACAAAAACATCCAAAAAATAATCTTAAACATTATTTTCATGGCAATCTCCAATTGTGCCAGACCAACACACACCAGGATCCTTTGTTACCTTTTTATCCTCAGTCTGGTTGGTGTTTACACTGACTTGTAACTACAGAACTACAGAAGGTGTAAACATAAGGTCTTATGAATGGGCAGGAAATTCGGTCATTGGCCAGTTTTGATGACAGTCTCTCTCCGTTATAAGTGCAGCACACAACTAGGGGGCAGATCCCCTTCCACTGATTGACTGCAGGTCATGCTGTACAAATCTGCATCTCATATACCCCTTTTACACAAAATCAGCTCTGGTTCTTGAACTGGTTCCATTCATGATTTTTGGAACCTTGGTGCTATGTAGTGTGATCAAGGATGTCTCATAAATGGAGGGCGTTGCACGATGCACTACAGAAGTAAACAATACTAGCAAAATTGCAGATTACTACTGCAAACTTTTTTTTTTTGTTGGCACAGTTCTTTGTTTTTGCCCCAAAAACTAGCATGGACCAACTTTTAATGAGATCACTGCAGGCTCTCTAAAATATGACACACCTGCTGACATCATCACAGTTCACATTTTGGGTCAAGGAAAACCTGCTATTTTTGTGGTTACAGCTGAGAACCAACTTTTCAGGTTCTGAACCAAATTAATTTTGGTCAAAATGCTCTGAACAGTATGAAAAAGGTGTGAGAACCAGAATGGAACCAGTTCCATCTTGGTGAAAAAGGGGTAATACAGTGCTTGAATTGGGCCAGTAATAAGACTATGCACACATTAGTTACGTACAACTGCATACATGTTACTTTTTACTCATATTCTAATATATGTAGGATTATATGCAGATTGGATTGGTACCTGTGTCATGTTTTTTTGTGTATTTTGATGACAATTGATGATTTTACCAGTGCATTCTGCTTTGGTTCCTCAGTTTTTTTAGTGTGTATTTCTTCCCCATCACTTTAACATCCTTTGTTTCTTATTCTAGTAATTCCCCACAGGTGTTCAACATTTCAAATTGAGGAAATTCCTTGCTTATTGAAGGTACTGTTATATGTGATTGTATGATGAATGGAAGACATCATGGAAGTGTAAGTACCATAAAACAGTTTGTTTCATGGTGGCTTGTATTGTTGCCTTTCTGATGCCACCTTTGAGATATGAATAGTACCAGTTGATACCAAAATCGCCATGACTGGACATAAAGGACAGGCCAAATTAAACAGAATCAGGAGAATGTGACCGCCAGTGCATCTGTATTGTATGTCAAAAATGGCCTTGTGCATGTGTGAGAACAGCACCTCTGCGCTGGCTGACTTTGGACCTCTGCAGCCCTGCTCATGGCTTTAATCCATTCTTCCTGTTCCTCACGACTGTCTGCGCTGAAGTAGTATGTCCTGGTACCAGTGTGCTCCGCCTGCATGCAAAACACAACAGGACCCTTCAATTCCCCATCCTCACCCTCTTCCTTGTGCAACCTCACCTGCAGGGGGAGATAAAACACAGCACAGGCAGCACATAAATAACACAGTTTTAGACACTGTTATTGTCATGATCAACATGCTTATGAACTTTATCAGCAGCATTCATCTTGTCATGCAATGAAGAGGCATGATATCAAATATGTCTAGGTAATTCTGGTCTATCTTAATTAGAAAACCACTTAATTTGGATGTCAAGCTGAATCTGGCAATATGATATGTATCACAACGCAGGGGTTATGATTTACTGTATTGTGAGATATACTGTAACCAAGGTGATATGTTGAGATATTTTTAAATCTAATTTTTTGCTCTCTTGTAATCATAACAGTGGGATCTGTATCTGTTTTAGAGGTTGACCAATATTGGAATTTTAAAAGCCAATTTAATTACGATAGCTTGGAGCAAGAAAAAGCCAACAGCTGATTAATCTGCTGATATCATCAAGACGGGCACCTTTTCCAGTACTTGTTTACTAATTTTGTATTTTCAAAATACTCAAAACAATTCGATAAATGAAAACATGGAAAAACAAGAATGGGTCAGACCCAGGAACATGGTTGTACTCTTTATGAAACACTAGGGTTTTTTTATATATTGAAACAGCTTTTAATTTGTAATAGGAAGTGGCAGCAGTCACTCAGTCACTGACTTACAGACTTTTGCTCTAGCACTAAAAGCACTCCAGCACTAGACCAGCTGATGTACAACTGTTTAATAAAATGGTGAGAGTACAACTACTGTAAAGTAACCTATAGTAAATCAAAGTTCAAACAGAGGATGCGTCTGTTAACTGTGATGGACGTTTACAGTGGACAGTTGTAAAGCTCTTTGAAGCAAATTTGTGATTTATATTAGGCTGTTTATGTGATGTGGATGTTTCCCTCTTTGTTAGCTCCACTAAATTTGCACACAATTTTCCTTAAATTTGCCCCAGATTTCTGCTCTAATGTCTATTTTTCAAGTGTTTTGGGGTCTTTTTGCGGTTGGTGTTGGACTGTGGAGGCAGGTGATCAATAAATTTACTAATTCTGTGGGTGAATTTGATTTATAAAACAACAGAAGCATCTTAACTTAAAACAACAGTTCAGTCATTCCACAACCAGAAACAATGGATTAGCAGAACCACACGGAAACATGGACATTTATAAAGCAGCAGCATGTAAGAAGAGGTATTTGCAATGCACATGTTGAAGGAGCTGACAGGGTCGCATTTCAACAGAGTTGTACCTTGTATGATTTCATGCGGCAAATACATGATTGATTGATTGATTGATAAAATTGACTTGACTTGACTAGACTGGGGTAATAATTACAGTTACTGCTAAAAAACTGTTAGGCACAACTTGTAAAATAAGACCCAAGTTGTGATAAACCAGAACTTTGCTTTAAAAGCATCCATGCACAATCCTCTAGTGGACTGTTCTGGTGTTAAAGCTACACTCACAGATTCTGTTACAGTTCCAAACCACAAAAAAACAATTCAACAGTTGAGTTTTAAAACAATAAGAGGGTTTGCAGAAGTGGTGCTGGTTTTATGAACAAAATCACAGGGTGTAACTTTAAAACAGCAGATTTAACATGCAGTCAATAACTAAACATGAACAACCCAAATAGGACAAGAGAAGATTGTTATGCATGAATCCTTAGGTATCCAACCATTAGGCAGACCTGCAGTACTGTTCAAGAGATGTAATCATGCATTCTTTACAGACAGGACAGTTCATAAAAATAAGGTTGGTAAAAGAATCAACATTGTACCTACTGTACTTTCTACACGACAGTCGACAGCAAGGACCGGCAGACCTCATGGGGGGTGGGTTGGGGGGAGACACACAGCTTTTAAATACAGTCTCTGCCATCAGAATCTCCACATGAACAAATGACAGTTAATAGATTGCAAACGTCCCCATGAATACTCTTGTGCATAATGGGGAATCAACCACGTATGGTTAGAAAGTCATGTCTAGACCCATAGACACGTTTCTAATTGCTCAAAAATAACATCAGTTAAATAAAACCTACAAAGAATAACAGTTGAACAGGAATGAATGCTACAATAATTACATATTTTCTGTATGCCTAATATGCAAGCAAAAGACACACTGATTGATATTGATTAATATTTGCCATACTTGTTAGTGTGAATGCTGTTGCATTCAGCAGCAGAACTATAAACCATGTATTCACTTTTTGATGTCTTTTACAGTTTGTAGATCATCACAGTTTGCTTTTTTGCTATTTAGGACCTTTCTGAGCTTATTATGGATGTGTACTACTGCTGTGAACTACTGTACTGTGTACTACTGCTACTGTTATTATTACTCCTTCTACTACCACTACTACTAATACTACTACAACAACTACTACTACTGTTGCTTCTACTACAACTAGTGTATGCCTGTGTGTTTTTTTGCCTATGGACCTCAAATAGGAGTAACAACATTTATATTTCATCCCTCAGTGACTGCCAGGCGGTGCTTTAAGCACTGGATATCTCTACTCACGCAAGCATGTGTTGAGTACAAATAACAGCAATGTCACCTGTGACCCCAGCATGACCCCCGGGAGGTTATATCTTCCGGCGTCTGCAGGTGTTCGGTTTCTCATTTCTTCTCGCGATTGCGCGCCAAGAGTACATGGACTGAATATGAGCTACAGCTGTAGCCTCTCAACTGCTTTTTGCCAGCCCTGTGCAGCCTCATGCCATCACGGTAGGAGTAACGATTTGTTCGTCCTCTGAGAGGCTGTGGCTGGCGCGTTATTTGATTTAATGTTTGATGCTCACCTGTCCTGCTTGGGCTTTGCTGGTGAGAGCGGCGTTTCGCCCCTCCCCCCCAGTATCGTTCAACAGCTGAGGGGAGAGCTACTAAGGTAATTATATTTTTTCAAGAAGAAAACGTTTTTTTGTGTTCCCTTTTGTCTTTCTTTTTTCTAAAAAAAAAAAAAGGGGTGAAGGCAGCGTGTCCACTCCCACTCCACTCTGGCATATTAACCTTGTTGGTGCGCGGAGCATGTCCGCTCCCCTCTCCCACCTGTGTTGAAGTGGTTGTTTTTTATTTTTATTTTTTACCTGTATAGTGACTTTGCTGGTGAAGGCAGCGTGTCCGCTCCCATCTCCTAGCTTTGTTGCATATCTATTTCGGGGCGCTGAGCCTGACCGCCGTCCCCCCGGCACCTCTAAAGGCTGGGGGGGACAGCGCTAGGGCTATGGGGCCGGTTGTCGGCTGCTTTTCTCAGCAGCAGCTCAATTACTGGGCTGCTTGCTCTTCAGACCCCTGGGTGATTTCCACCATGACCCAGGGGTACAAACTGCAGTTCCGTCGCCGGCCCCCTTGCTCCGGCCGGGTCACAATGACCATCATCAGCGACCTGGCAAAAGCCCTCGCTCTGGCTCAGGAGTTGTCCATCCTCCTGGCCAAGGATGCCATCGTGAGGGTGGATCCTCTACTACAGCCCGGGGCGTTCTACTCGACCTACTTTCTTGCCAGCAAGAAAGACGGCGGACTTCACCCCATCTTGGACCTGAGGGGCCTCAACAGGTATATGAAGGTTCTGCCCTTTCGGATGCTGACCACGGCGGACATGCTGTGTGTGGTCAGTGAGGGGGACTGGTTTACGTCCATAGATCTCAAGGACGCTTATGGGAATGAAGATTCTGCCATACCTTGATGACTGGCTGGTATGTGCGTCCATCCTGCGATCAGGTGGTACAGGATACAGCCCGCCTACTGGCACATGTGGCCAGGTTGGGCCTCATGGTGAACAGGGAGAAGAGCTGCCTGGTTCCTTCCCAGCGGGTCGCCTACCTGGGGTTGGTGCTTGACTCGGTTGCCATGAGGGCCTGCCCTTCGCCACGGCGCATGAGCGACATTCTGCAGCTCCTCCCCCATTTCAGGAGGGGCAGGTGGCTGCCTTACATCAAGTTTCTGCAGCTCTTGGGCAAACCGACAGCTGCCTCAGCTGTTATACCCTTGGACCTGCTGACGCTACGCCCCCTGCAAATGTGGCTGAACAGCCTTCTCCTGGACGCCAAGAGACACAGGCGCAGGCTGGTCAGGGTGTCACAGGCACGTGTTCGTGCTTTGACACCCTGGAAGGACAAGGCGTGCCTGCTGGGGGGCACGCCCTTGGGAGCTATTCCATACTTCTGGGAGACTGTCATCACAGATGCCTTCCTTTGGGGGTGGGATGCGGTATGGCGAGGCAGGCCTGCTCAGGGGCAGTGGTCTGTTTGGGACTGTGCAAGCCACATCAATGTCTTGGAGCTTCGGGCTGTGTATCTAGCACTCCAGCATTTTTTACCACACCTGCAGGGAAGACATGTGGTTGTTCAGTCTGACAATATGTATACTGTCTCCCAGGTCAATCATCAGGGGGGCACCAGGTCAACGGTATCCCGGTGCCTTCTGACTTGGGCCGCTCCTCGCCTGTCCACCCTGCAGGCAATGTTCCTGCCGGGCGAGCGGAATCAGGTTGCAGACTTTCTTTCCCAGTGCAAGCCTCCACCAGGGAAATGGCAGCTTCACCTGGAGGTGATGGAAATGATTTGGGACCACTTCGGCAGAGCAGCGGTGGACCTCTTTGTCTCGGAGGACTCAGTTCATTGCCCCCTCTGGTTCTCTTGGACAGAAGGGACCGCTCCTCTGGGACAGGATGCCCTGGGGCACGAGTGGCCCAATGAGCTCCTGTATGCATTTCCACCACTACCTCTGATTCTACCAGCATTACAGAGGGTCTTCCAGCGGGGCCACGGGCTCCTTCTGGTTGCCCCCTTTTGGCCAGGGAAGCCTTGGTTTCCACTGCTGTGGAGGCTCTGTTGCAGCTCTCCATGGCGCCTCCCGAAAAGGACGTACCTTCTGTCACAGTTGGGGGACCGGATTTGGCATCCCGACCCCCACCGCCTTCAGCTCTGGGTCTGGCCACTGCAGGGCCTGACCCGCTCCTGACAAGCTGTGTTGACCCAGTTAGGACTACCATCCTGAATGCTCATGCATCATCC